CAAACTCTCTATGATAAAAATTGATAAAGAGAAATAGGCAAAAATTGGTTGCTATGTTTTGTAGTTACCATGGCAACATGTAGAAAGTTAAAAAAACAAATATGTTTAGAGCCCAATAGTTAACATTTGCAGCAAAACAAACAATTGGCATTGACTGTTTCCAAACGTTGAAGGTCAGATGTCTCAAATGCATGATAAACATGTTTGGTAAATCAATTATTACATACGTTACTATGGTAACAAAGTATTCAAAAGTAAAAAAAAAATATTCATTGACTTTTATACAGTCATACACAAAAAAATAAAAAGCAATTATAGGATGAAATGTTTCAAATAATAGAAAAACAAAGATCTATGAAACATATACCAAGAACAAAATATGATATTTCATTTTGGTTGGCAATGGTTGCCAAGGTTATTATACCACAGGGAGCCTTCAATACTCTGTATGTTTAAATCTGATGGTATCTTTAAAAACAAAAATTTACTCATAACTAATGATAAATTTTATAAGATGTTGGTGTGCTCCAAGTTTTCCCATTTGAAAAAATTCAGATTAGATTCTTTAAATAGAGCGTTGCTATGGAAATAAGCAGAAAAAATATGCTTAAAAATCTGAAAAATATTTTCTTTCCTTGGATACGTACCCTTAAATGTAGATTCCCAAAACTTTTATGATTGATATTTATTAACAGCTAACTTGACTTTTAATTTTGACTATCATCCAATTTCTAAGTGGATGCAAGAAGTTGGCACACAGGGTTTAATATTGATATAAAGGTCACAAAATCTTACATTTTCCCTTCTTGGTAACCATAGCAACAGTGTTGTTTCATTCATCAAATTTTATCAATATATGATATTCAACTTCAGTTCTAACAGATAAGTACTATTCAAGCTGAGTCCTTTAATTTTTTTCTTGATTAGATGGCAATTTAATTCTTAAAACAGCAAAAAATAATTCACTTTTAAGCACTTGTACTTTGTTTCCATGGTTACACTGCAAAGTAGCAATTATACCCAATTTTTCTTATGGTTTTGGTGTTGCAAGGTCCTAAGGAAGCATATTTGCCAGTCTTGAATTTTCATGTTTTTCCTCAAGACAGTAGCATTAACGCAATCTTAGTTACTGGTTTTGCATGGTTACACTTTGTTACCATGGCAACCATAAAAGTTATTTATAGAATAATATTGCTTATACTTATATACTGAAGGTCAAACATTTTCATTGTTTTTCTTAAGTCATTGATTGAGTTTGTCATTTAAACCTACCATTAGTGAATACGGAATTGTTTTTCAGCATATTTCAGCATTTTAAATGTATTAATGTACCCTTGGTTACCACTTACTTAGAGATATATTCTAAACAGTTTCTTTACAGTATAAGTGACATCAAGGTGTCGTGTTTTTGTGAGAATGGTTTGTTTGCTCCTTCTAGTTTTTATTAAGCTACAGTCAAGATTTAGGGTGGCTGAAAATTTCGATTTTTCAAACTTTTCCGGCCGTTGCCATAGCAACTGAGACACATAGCAACGAAATTTTGTTTGATATTTGTTTCTGGTGTCAAGTACTAAGCATGGGTGAAATTTCATCAAAATCGGTGACCATGCGTGGCAACGAAGTTTAAGTGGTTACTGAGAATGGCTCTTAATGATTAGATATTTGATACACAATATAAAATGACGTATAACAAAAATTACTTAAAATATTTAAAACATTGGTTCTATGTTGCAAACGATTTTTTAAAGCTGTCGTATAATCAAGGAAAATAACCCATCAACCGATTGCAAAATACTTCAATACCCGTAATATTAGTTACATAGTCTTTTAGTGACAGGGTATATGATACCTGGTTAGTAAATTTCATACAGGCGGAGCCAAATCATGAAATTTACTAACCAGGTATCATTGCAAACCCTGTAAATGATATGTAACGAATTTACCCCACGATGAAACATTTACGTTTTATCTGTAGTTTATAAATGGTTTTCTCTGCTAAATGCTTCATCGCGCTCACACTGTGAATATTATACGTCACGTTTGTGTTTGTGACGTAATACATCGACCGGGTATAGATTTCTACTGACCGGGTATGGATTTACAACTGACCGGGTATAAGTAATCCACCTCCTTCACGTGACAGACTTTAACCAATCGTAGGCCAGGATTTCACGAAAAAATCAACAGAGGTGGGGTAAAAGTAATCCACCGCCTTCACGTGACAGACTTCAACCAATCGCACGCCAGGATTTCACGGAAAAATCGACAGAGGTGGGGTAAAATAGTTATACTATACTGATCAACTGCGCAGTAAATCAGTACTTTTGTCCACAATCAAAACTCCAAAAAGGGAATGCTTTAGAAATTTGGATATCATAAAGCTTATATCTATATAAATGTTGCTGTAAACTATTTAGAGATTGGAAGAATCCAATTTTTTCCCATTAAATGCTGCCTCTGCTGTTCCGGTAAAATTGGTCATAACTTTTGCAACTGAAATAAATAAAACTTTATTTAAAAACAAAAACACCAGAAAATATTTATGGCTATGAAACTGTTATTTATTCATGAGAGAGAGTTAAAAGAGAGATTACGAAATATTATAAACATAATTATGTCATTTTTTATTATATAATTAGAAAGCGTTTGGTGGGTCAATACTTTTTTCCCAGTAATAGGGCATAAAATATTAACAGATCAAATCATGAACACCTCCCACTAATTTGCAAACCCGTTGATTGCTTCACATTTAACAATATAGATCTTTTATAATCTGTTATTTCCACCATTACAGAATACATACGCAATTTGTGAAAGTAGCTTCCTAAGGTTCGATATTGTTCCTTTGTATGGAGAGAAAAGGAATTTGTAAACAGGCTAGCTATGCAGCCTCCAAGAATAGGCCCTAATTTACACCTAAAACAGAAATTAAATAAATGTTTTTATATGTATATATAAAAATGAAGTTCTGTAATTTACAAGCATCTATTAATGGGTCCGTAGAAAATAAACTAAGAACATGCTTTAGTCAACATTTTGTTTTCTTTGACGTATTTTCATAAAAAAGATTGAAAGTGGGTGAAAACCTTTTACTTTTTCAAAACTTTTAAAAGAGAAACAAGATTTTCTTTCAAATAAACATTGGCTGTAACAAGACTAGTACTTTTTTTCGAATGTTTTATAAACATTATTCAGGTAGCCAAGTGTCCAATTCGTAAGGTGGAGATGAGGGAAACGAATCGGACACTTGGCTAGCGAAGATGATTTGGCGTGTGATCTGCAGGCATCATTTGTACGAAACATTAATGGTTTAAATGTTCATGATTTGGTTGGCTGAACATAGCTGGTCAGATTTTACAAATACAACCATAGGATTTTTTTTTAATTAAGTTTGAAAGACCGTCAGATTTAATGTAACATTTATGACCGTTTTTTTCCTAGGAGGTACAATAACATAGTAATGTTTCACAAAAAATAAACACCTTCAAGATTAAAGGCATAGATAATTTAGTGTACATGTTCATCATAGAATAGAAGATTGGAATTAATTTTGCTAGAGAACAAAACTGAACCAAAATTTATCTAATTCAAAATTTAAATACATCAGTACATAAAATGAATCTGATTAAATAGTTGTTTGCATGAAAAAAGAATATTAACGCTTCATGCGAGGTTCGAACCAAAAACGTTTCACTTGTAGTACACTGAACATGTAGCTTATATTACTGCGCTACCACCGCTACACTTATACCTTTGAATTTAAAAAGACAAAGAAGCACCACATTTACACAGTTCGATTTTTTTTTTTTTTTTTTTTTTTGGAAAAAGTTCATTTTTATGGTCTCTGGGTCTTCTCTCCATTTTGTACAAATGTATATTCGTTTCTTTGAATTACAATGCACACAAATAACGTTTCAAAATCATGGAGAGAAGACACAAAGATAGAAAATTTTTAGAAAAAAGTGTTTTGAAATGTACCATTTTGTACCAAATGTCTGTTCCTGCCAATTTTCTAGCTATTTTTTAGCAAATCAAAATTCACTTTCGGAATAAAATAAATGTTATAATTTCAGGTGACATGTCAATAAAATTTTCACTTTACGCCCAGATTCCTGCCGAATGCCAATTAAAAGCGCACTCGTTCTTTTTGACCTTTTGAGGTTTAACCTTCTTTTTAAATATAATGAACCTTTGCAAGTCCACCATCTATGTTTTGGCTTTCCGAATATACAAATTGTATGATTATTTATCTAATAATCAGGGCCTTTTGCACTAGATGCATATGCATTATCTGTGACAATGCCTTTTTTTCTTAATAGAGAGTGATTTTCATGACCTAGACCTCGAAGTTTGACTTTCGAAAACTTTGAACAAAGAGAGCATTTATATCATATGTACTTCAAAAATAAAAGACATATGTCTCAGAACATATACAAAACAGTTAGAAAACCATTATACCTTGGAAGAAGGGTTTGTTATATATAACAACCGGTCAATGTAAAGCACTAGAAAAGCTTCAGTTTTAAAGAAGCTGTTTAAAATGCATCTTTCCATGAACTGCCAATAATAAATACATCAATTTTATTTAAAACTTAATTTAATTAAATTCAGAAAAATGTGAAGTAATCAAATGTAACTACGAGGGGTGATCAAAAAGTTCGTGAACTATCTCTATATTTACAAGACCACAATTCAGATCAGAATGAAATTTGGCACACATAGAGTCAAACACATGTTCTATAAATAGCATATGTGGTGAAAAATGTTCAACATGAAAGATCGCCAACTTACAATAAGAAAAACATTTAAATATCTTGTCAATAATATAATCATAAAATCCCTAAAATATTGTTTAATTTAGACCTCAAACATATCAGATATGACAAAGAGGAAGCACCCATACTTTATCCACATTAAATAAAGGACGCTCCCAAGACAGAGGACTCGGGTTATAATGGTCACCATGCTCATTCTGGAAAAGGATATCCTTATCCACCCATGCTATATTGTCGAAATTTGTCCATTTCTGACAAATAAACTGTGTTTGTTATCAAAAATAACTTGCATGGTAAGAACTATGAGTCGAAAAAATCATTTAGCTTATCTGACAGAACGCTATGGAGCATGTCATTTGACCGTCTAGATCACGTGATTCGCGCATGGACAGAATGGTTGCAGATGCGTGTTAAAATCGGAGAAGACTAGATTTAAAAAAAAGAATTCAACAGTAAAACCCTATATCATTATTTTTATGGAAGTTATTCAATTAGTTGGCGAACTTTTTGGTCACCCCTCGTATATGTATAAATGCGTATGTACTGTAATAGTATCATATGGTCCCCTAGAATAGAAATAATTATCACAGACCGTCTATAGACTTTACCCAATGTGTGTCGTAATCGTTGGAGGCTACAGCACTCCCTAGAGATCGGGCAGGGTTCATACTGGACCCCGTCAAGGTAATCTGTAAAGAAAAAAAATTCCAAGAAATCTAGATTGTCTGTCGAGCTATAGCTACATATTTAAAAGTGCTAGCAATTGCATTTCTGGAAAAAAAAACAAATAGTTTCTCGACGGGAGAAAAAAAAAACAAAAAAATATTGTAAACATATTTACAGACATAAATAAATTGTAGTGTTTCGTGGTCAATAAGATGGTCTCTGATTAGAAAAAAAATGTGTAGATGCCTTTTTCACATAAGAATGTTTTTATTACCACAAAATACGCAATTAGATTGTTGTCAGAGAGGAAATCAGGCCTACTGTCCAGTCCTGCTATGACCACGGATTCATTGTGCAAGAAAGGGGCCAGTGTTCTCTATATTCATCATTATTAACAGCAATTACAGGATATAGAAATACTCCAGCACTTGATTAACAATCTTACTTATTCAAATAGGCGTACACTCATGTCTTTATTGTCTGTAAATTTTATGTACACCTTATTAGTTTGTAAGGAGATGTGGGAAGAGGGACGAGTTTCATTCAAAATTAAAGTTAATACAGTTTGCAACCATCTAGAAAAATGAAATTAAAAAAAAAACATTTAAAGATCTAAATTTATTTTTAATACATATGACCAACCTAGTCCTGGTGGCAACTAAAAATGCATATGCCAGGCCATACTTACGGAAGAAAAATGCAGCATTGCTACCGTGAGCCCAATTTTCAAAGAAACACTACCAAAATCTGTTCTGTTTCCGTCTGTTGTCGCAATAATAACAAAGACAAGACAAAATGTTAAAATCAGCTCAATGGCAACTCCTTGTAAAAGAGTGTAGCTATCGGAGACTTTGGTCACTCCAAGATTAGAATGGAATGCACCTGGTGTCACTCTGAAATCAAATTTTCTTATATAAAACATTTACCAAACATTCGAAAAATCATACTTTGGAAAGATGTGTTTATGACTGTTGATCAAGGTGAAATAGAAAAATCATATTTTGGAAAGATGTGTTTATGACTGTTGATCAGGGTGAAACCAATTCACTTAATTTCGGTTTATAAATGTGTCATGATGTAAAGTTTTATCATGTTGTAAATTTTGCATTTACTGCCACCCAGTAAAATCAAAATTTACAACATGGCACATGTATGTTTCACTTACTCATACAGAGTAAGCAAGATTATAGGTAATATATTGTTAAATAGTAATTCTTTACCCTCTCAGAATCATTCCTCCCACAATGGCTCCAATGGTTTGAGCAATTGTGTAAAACAAAGCGCGAAAAATAGTGATCTGAAAACTCGCCAAAAATCCCAAAGAAACCGCAGGATTGAAATGTCCGCCGGAAATGTGACCAAACATTTGAATAAGGGCCATAATCGCCAGTCCAAATGCAAGCGCTATCTGTAAAAAAAAAAGTCTGCAAATCAGGAAATTTATTAGTTAACTGTCGAGATAATCTTGATAAAATGTCAGTTATGTGCAGGGGAACACTGATAGTTTTCATTCAAAATATTTGTTTGTAAAGAAGAAAATGTATCTCAGGTGCTTCTTGTTGCCCTCGGACCTCTTGTTATATTATTTTGACGCAATGCCATACATTTTTAAGACTATGAGTATAAACTAACCATGCTAATGTAACAAATTATCACCAGCACTGATGTCACAACAATATGGTGTTTTGTTAACATTCCATTCACCGTGATTTCAAACAGAAAAAATACATTCTTGTTTATGTAAACATTGAAATTATTGTCATTTAAACATCGAGGGGTCGGTAAGTAACCTGGATATTTTGACAAACTAGAGGAAACTCCGTATACCTGGAGTTCGTGGTAAAGAGCGTTAAATTACATATTAACCACTATGTATGCTTGTTCCTATAATGAAGTGAGGATAATTTGTCTTCAGTCTGCAGGATTAGAGGAACAACGTACTTTGTGAATGTTGACCACGTCAATCTGTTTTATAAACGATTTTCCCCAAAGATGGAGAGGGTTAAAGCTGAAATATATCTTCAGCCAAAAAAAAAGGAATATATTCTGTCGTGTTCATAAGCTTTATTAAATGCCCAGACATATATAAAGCTTAAAAGAAGACATTTTTGAAAGTGCGACATACTAGTGCTTCAGGGGAGGGCTGTAAGATAAAAAAGAACCCAAACACACAGAAAATCAACAGTATTTGAGTTATCATAGTGAAATATGTCGATCGTAAAGTTTTCAGGTAATGCTACAACAAATATTTATGACTAAATATCTTAGATCCACACAGATATGAAATCTACGTGTGAAAAGATGTGCAATAGACTGGAGCGGTGGTACATGTATAACCGATTTATCCTCAACAAATGTTCAACTCACACACGTTATAATTTCAACGGATTGTATCTGAAATGTTTAGAAGGTCTAAAAAAAATTTATATTCTGAATCTATTCTATCTTTATTCCACTATGAAAAACTACCTAAGCAAATAATTCCTGGCATTATTATTTAAAGGGCATTTATAACAATAAAAACATATGCAAACTGGTTTATGATAACTTGATAAATAATCTATACGAAAAACACGTGAATGTTGGATTTATTTGGTTTTCTGATTTTCAAATGATAATTCTTTATAGGTAGAAATATTTTATATTACATTTATTTCAAAAGTATCTGTAATATTGTGTGAGAGAGAGAGAGAGAGAGAGAGATTTCTACTCACTCTGACGGGATTTATGGGGTCAGTTAATGTGGAAGCACATCCTAGGAAGACAAATAACATAGTCCCTACGAACTCTGCCAACACCGCTCTCCAAAACTTCCAGGTTTTCAGTTCACGGATGGAGTAAACCTTTTCCTCCACATCTTTTCCAAATCTAGCTTCAGTTACTGCTTGTGAAACGTGCATAAAATAGCCCTCCATTTCTCACTTTCGCAAAATTCTGCAAATATATAACTCCGGATAATTTTCAGGTGAGGAAAAAAGTATCTACGATGAAAACAAATAAAAATCCAGTTTCCACTTTTAAAGATATTAAAATACTTTATTACGTATATGTAGGTGTTACTAGCAACTACTGGTGCTCTTTTATAGAATAAATAAATCTTCGATAGACGATTACGTATATGACATGTGATAATACAGCTAGTTTAACAAACTGCACTTTCACGAGGGGGTGTTACCCAACATACACTCATGTTTATGCAAAAGAAAATTTACAATATGTAGTATTTATCATTAGTTAACACAAGTTTATTAATGCTACCTCAAAACATGTATACAAATCCATCTTTTCTTACTTTATTTGAATTTTACTTCATGTATTAATTCTAATTGCAGTTTTTTAACGTCTTAGAACATAGAGAGTTGTTTTTACATTCGCCAAGTATATATTTCTTTAAAATTTATTTATTTTTATTACCTCTTGCATATATTAAATGGAGTAGTTAGTTTCGTTAGGAATCTTTCAAGACATAAAGTTCTTTCATATAGTGTATATTGTTCATTTTAAATGTTCCAGAGTCGATGTGCATCTACAATTCAGCTTCTCATTATATATGAAAACAAAACTCTCAAAACTTAAGATGTTTTCGAAACTCTTTGGAGCCCCACTTCCTGTCATTGCAATTAACCACATGGTATTTCCAGTTTAAATTAATTGTCTTTAGCTTTTTTTCCTCTTCATAATAATATACTTAGAACAAAAATCCCATATACTTGAAATTCTTCTGCTTCTTTTTTTTATTAAGATATTAATTGGATGAAGTGGATAAAGGACTTGTCATTGTTAAATTTTCTAATGAGGTATAAGTAATTTTTCATTCCTTCATAAATACACTGTACATCATTTCGAATGCCAGTCATTCAGCGGCATTGCTTTGTAAAGTACATATGTGCTTTTATCATTCATTTTCTATAGCCATAAAGTTACATATTAACCCTATTTATAGATTTAAAAGGTGAACCTGCAACGGTTTAAAAAGAGAAGAGTTTGCACCTTTTAACACAGATATCTCGCAAGCTTTACTCTCTCCAGAGTACACGAAGTACACACTTTGTCATCTCCCGGCTAAACAGACCGTGTGGTAATAAAATAAGAGGCCCCTCGCAACAACGCTCAGCTGAGTTCTTGGGGGGGGGGGGGGGGTGTAGTTCTTGAGAAGAAGATTTTTTAAAGACCAAATCCTTTTTTGTACCAACTTCGGTAAAAATTGGCCTAGTTGTTCTTAAGAAGAAGTTGAAAACGTGACTTAATCTTTCAGCTCAGGTGAGCTAATAAATAATTTTAAAAAAGGTGCAAATTGAGTACCACTTAAAAATATCTACGGTATATAAAAATTTGAATGTTTTGTACATGTAAACAAGTACTTCACATATCGATAAATTAGGATACAATTTATACAAAACCTTGTTTGACAATTCATCGTTTTTCTAATCGACCTTTTTGGAATATGAGTGATTATACGAGGGGTGATCAAAAAGTTCGCGAACTATCTCTATATCTACAAACCACAATTCAGATTTGAAAAAAAAAATCGGTACACACATAGCCATACAGAAGTTCTATAAATAGCATATGCTGAATTAAGTTTTGCTCCTTGTTTGTGACGTCACAATGTGAAAATGACGTCACTATTTAGGTCACTTGTGACGAAAAATGGTTGTCTCAGTCGAACTCGTTCAACAAACGACTGTACAATTTATTGTAATATCTTAGAAATCCCTCTACAGTATCATATAATAATTTGTACACAGTTTATTGAGATAAATGAGTTCCTATAAATTTAATTAATGATTGGATTAATCGTTTTAGTGAAGGAAGGCTGATGGTTAAAAATGATGCTTGTCATCTTGCCCAGTGAAAGCAAGTTTGAAAAGATATGTATTTTTAATTAAGCAATTTGCTATCAAAGACCTCTAATTAGCACTTTGAAAAATAGTTGAATATTTGAACAATGATATAAGTATTAAATACCTAAGATATCGTTTACTTTAGATTTTAAACATATTAGATATGATAAAAAGGATGCACCCATTCTCTATCCACCTTGAAAAAAGGTCTCTCCTGAGACAGAAGATTTGTGTTTTAATGGTCGCCATGCTTATTTTTGGAAAGGATGTTATTATCCACCCATTCTGTTGCCGAGATATGACCATTTCTGACAAATTAACTGCTCTTGTCATAAAAATTAACTCACATGGAAAGATATATAAAACTCGGAAAAATCTTTTAACTTTTGTGACAGAACGCTACGGAGGGGGTCACGTGACCGCCAATATCACGTGATTCGCGCATGCGCAGAACGGTGGTTGATGTGCATTAAAATCGGGGAGGATTAATTTAAAATATAATCAACATTAAAACCAAATATTGTTTCTTGTATGGAAGTTATTCAATTAGTTTGCGAACTTTTTGATCACCCCTCGTAGTATGTACTAACCCTCCCCAGATAATTTCCCAATTCCTTTCAGACTCATGCATAAACAATTCAGTAGCTTATCAGTCATATTTTAAAGAGTAAGTACATTTTTTTCAAAGCCTGGCAATTACAGAGTAAGATTTTGACCTCTGTCCATCTGGCATATCGGATATCTTATGATCTTATATGGTGTCTGCACTCTGCAGCATTTTTCTTTCAAGTTCAATGGACTTTTTCAGTTGCATGACCGGTGGAACAAAGTAATATCCTCTACTTAAATTTTTCATATTGCATTCAATATTACATATTAAAAAAAACATTTAAATCAAGTTTAATTAAGAGCTTATCTGGACGCAAAAAACCAAGAGGACCACTGAAAGTGAAATTAAAGAGCAATTATTAAAAAGATTTTTAAAAATGCCCTACAAGTTGTTGCACTTAAAATTGTATAGATCGGTCTCAGTTGTAACAAAATGCTTAAAAAAATGTCCGATTTAATTTGTTGCTTTTTAAGGGTATATTAATCCAGTAAGATGAAAAGATAGAAGAGAGAGGATCAGACCTCTAGTTCCCGAGACACTGTAAACTGTGTAACACGATACAAAGGAGGGGCCTAACAGAAGGAGGAAAACAATTCCTCAGCAACAATACCATAATTAACTCAATCTCCAGCTATACGACTGTACCTGTGGAGAGAAAATGGCATTTTCGAATTAAGGAAAGCTTTCCTCATCGATTGAGTGACAAAAAGCCGATTAAAGCTTTTTGTGTTAGTCTTTACTAATATAAATATCGCGTGATTCTGGATAAATTCTCACCACTCCTTGTCTTTTCAAGTATAATCTGGTTATCATTTATCAACTGGTGTACATTTCAAATGTAACAAATCGTTCAATTTCAAGTCACACAAATCAAAACTTACCGGCGGGCCACTGACCTTTTTTACGATTGTAGTTAGATAAATGTTATATAATTTAGTCATAAATTTATTCTTTTGTACTTTATATGTAAATTTTTTTTTGTCCCCCTCTTGAAAAGTGGGGGATATTAATTTGGGTTTGTCCGTCCGTCCGTCCGTCTTTCTGTCTGTCTGTAACGCTTTCGTTTCCACACGATATCTCGAGAACCCTTTGAGCTTTTGCAATGAAATTTAGCATAGCAACTCCCTATGGACTAAAGAAGACCCCTTTTGATTTTGAGGTCAAAAGGTCAAAGGTCAAGGTCATAAATAAGCAAATTCTGTCTGTTAAAACACTTTCGTTTCCACACGATATCTCTAGAACCATTTGAGCTATTGCAATGAAATTTTACATAACATCTCCCTGTGGCCTAAAGAAGACCCCTATTGATTTTGAGGTCAAAAGGTCAAAGTTCAAGGTCGTAAATTTATACATTCTGTCTGTGTGTAACACTATCATTTCCGGGCGATATTTCAAGAAAAGCTTATGCAATGTAATTTTATATCAAAACTCCCTAGGACGTCTCTCGCCCCTCTCAAAGTGCCCCGCCCCGTTTGTTTGATTAGTATTTATAGTATTACATGTCGCTATTTTTAGCGCAGGGGCATGAGGAGAGTTATTGCGAATAAAACAGGTTCTCGGCGGACTTTATGTTCTTATTACATCTATTAGCACTGTTTAATAAAGGCTAAATAAATCAAACACCATGGATTGTGTAAAATTTTGAGAATACCGAACATGAAAACATGAATATATACATGTATGTGACTTTAGTTCTGCATATACTTCCCTCCATGTAAAGCGACTCCGTGGTCGAGTGGATATGTCTCTCGCCTCGAAAGTGAGAGGTCGCTGAATCGAATCTCGGTCGAACCTCTCTTTTTTTTTTTTTTTTTAAATACTTTTTTTTTTACTAAATGATAGTATTCAGCATGTGAAATGAAAAATTTATGAGGTTATAAAATCAACATTACAGTGTGATAAATATTCCATATAAAAAAAAAATCTTCTATACACATAATAAAGAATAAGCAATCAAATCTTTATATGCATATTAACATACATGTATTTTATTTCCTTCAGTATACATGTATACTTTTAATAATTCTACAAATTCAGTCAGGGGGAGCCGAATTTTTCCCTAAGCGGGGGACACGAATTCTCTGAATTAGCTTGTTCAATTTGTAACGATCCACACCCCAAATTTCCCTGCCATGCAAATACACTGGATAATTAAAAGTTTAAAAAAAACCTTTAGAATATGGGTGATCAAAAACTGTGCGAACTAATTGAATTACTTTCAAAAAATAAAATAAAATAAGGCTTTAATGTTCATCATTTTTAAATTAGTCCTCTCCGATTTTTATGCACGTCTGCCACCGTTCTGCTCATGCGCGAATCACGTGATCCAGGCTGTCACGTGACATGCTCCTTAGCGCTTTTCTGACTCGTAGACTCGTATAAATATTTCTTACCATATGTGCCAAATTGCATTCTGATCTGAATTGTGGTTCTGTAAATATAAAGATAGTTCGCGAACTTTTTTTCTTTACAAATGAAGATCAATCTCCAAGGCCAAGACCAAGATTTTAAAAAAAATGGTAACCGAAGAAAGGGTTCATTCACATGGAATACTAAGATTAAAGCCCTAGCACGAACCATTTTAAAGTAATGGTCAATGACAAAGGTTTTCAAAAAAAGGCATACTCCAATGTCAAGGTAATTGGGTCCAAAATGTTGGCCCTGCCTGGGGGAAATGTTATGT